GCCTTTTCATTTCTTGCCTTCCATCCTTCTGTGAGGTCTCCAAGTCTGTTCTTCGGGCGTCGGGACGTCCAGACTGAAGCTAACTCAGCACTTCTTTGGAAAGCCCCTTTGCTCTGGTGCCGGTCCGGGCTCGAGAGCAGCCCGGTGGAGGAGGGCCTGGCTCTGCTCTCCTGGTCGCTGCCCTTCTCCTGCCCCCAGGCTCTGGCTTCGGCAGCCACGCGATGGCCGTGCCTGGCTGAGTGGGGAACAAGGTCAGCTGAAGGTCTCTGTGGTGTCCCCGAGGGCGGTGGCATTGGGCAGCCGAGGGCGACCCTGGAGCCGGAGGGGAATCCCTGCGGTGGTGAGACCGAGGTCAGCTCTAGTCGTCGGTGCGCGAGGGCGTCGCGGGTGGGGTGAGGGGAGAAGCGGGTCTGGGAGTGCAGTGCGGTGTCTTGTTTTTTGTGTATGTCAGCATCGCTTCTAAACTCCCTGAACCTCGAACACACGTGCGGACTGTCGATGCACTGTGGCCTCTCAGCAAGGCTGGTGGAGAGGGAGTGAGTGGGCTTTGGGTCCGCTGCCGCTGTCCTTCGTGTCAAGCCTCTGACACTTCAACTGTGTGATCGTGAACTGGCTACAGGCCGCACTGGCCTCTTCCTCCTCACCGAAATGAGGGTGTAACATCTCTTGCATTGTAGGCTGTGGTAGGATTCAGTGCAAACGTGTAATTTTGCGTATGAATGTAAAGTGCCTTAATATACATCAGGCTCTCAGGGGGAATGCTTTCTAGAACAGTAACTTCAGTTGTTAAACATGCCAGCACTGTGGTTTTTATAATTTGACTTAAAGCAGAACATGTGATACGATGTCATAACTTTAAATAAGAGCACACACACTCAGTTGGCAATGGAGTGAAAAATGAACCTCTGAGTTAAAAAAGGTTTCTTTTCTCCCCGCTTGTGCAGGTCCTGAGGGAGGCTAACAAATTAGCAGAGATGGAAGAACCGCCCTTGCTTCCGGGAGAGAACATTAAAGACATGGGTCTGTAATGGCGTTTTCTGTTTACTTTCCTTCTGCTTTGTGGCGTGCAGACTGCTCCGGGCTCTCACTCAGCGCACAGAGGCCAGACTGGCCGGCGGAGGGGACAGCCAGTGCACCTCCTGGCAGCCTGGCCCCTGCGGCCTTCTCGGCCTCCAGTGTTTTCCACGGGCCTAGGCCAGACCTGCTGCTGGCATTCGCGCTGGACACACGTGCACTGAATTTTGCTCTGCTTCTTCTCTGGTTCGTTTTACTTTCTTTGAAAGTGGGTGGCTTCTTTTTTCAAAGCTCCTGCTGAATTCTGTGAAGGAAAATTTCATGATTTTGAATGACTGTTCAGTTGCTGGGCTGCCTAGATAAAAGCTTTGAGTTGCCACTTTACACAAGTAACTTCATTTCAAAACAGCTCCCCTGTTTTCCTCCTTTATGTTTTTTTTCGCTGAATAAACTCAGGTCAGTTTTTTGGACGAAATACTTCTTCACTGCAGCTATTTTTATGCAGGCGTCTTTCTCTGTCCAGCCCACTGCTTATAATATGGACTGGAAACTGAAAACAAGGATAAAAGCTGTGTTTCTGTCCTTACAGTTTTGCGTTGTTTCATGTGTGACAATCTACACGATTCTTCTGCATTCTGAGACATGACATTATGGAGTGGGAGAACGAAGACAGTGATTTCTTAATGTGGATGCCATCTTGCACTTTAGTATTCATCGTAATTTTTAAAAGGATTTTAAATGCTGAATTTTACTGGGCTAGGTGTCATTTCCTTGGGTAAAAATAAGCAGGCCAAAGAGGGAGTGGTGGGTGGCTGTCACCTTCTAAATTTAGCTCCTTGCACTTAGTGTGGTGTTTGTCTCTTCTTGCTTTCAACTCTTGATCGAATGGCCTCCCAGGCTTTTGTCCCCAGTTAGCCTGTGTGTACACCGAGTTCTCGATCTGCTGAACTACTGAGCTAGTGTATTCAGCACTGGCAGTTGAGTAATGGCAGCAGTTACAGTTACTGAGTGCTGACCGTCTCGCCTGCCAGTCCTCAGAGTAACGTTCTGAGAAGGGCGTCCGCCCCATTGTGTGGGCGAGCCGATGAGGCTGTGCTGAGCACGGGGACAGGTTCTCTTTTCTTCCTCTGAGCCGGATGCCACGAGCAGCCGTGATGACACACGGCCTCAGGAAAGGCGTCCAGGTGACCCTCGTCGCACTTGCTGGCTCCTCTTCTTTTTGGCAGCCCCTGCCAGGGCTGCACTCTCAACCTGGGACCCTTTTCCCAGGAGGGGACAAGGAGAGGGGAGAGTAAGACTCAGGAGGCACTGGAGAGGGAGACTAGGGCCCGGCCTCTGTGGGCAGGCCCGCTTTCCTTCCCCGTGTCTGCATCTGGTGAGGCTCTTCTTCACCTCACGCACTGGGTCCTCATTCTTCCTGCCTCAGGGACGTGTCTCGGGGACGGCTCCGCGCCTGCTCCTCGGCTCGTCTCTCTCCATGGCCTTGGGGACTTTCCTTCCCTGCCTTAGAGTCTGGCTTTGGGGGGGGGGTCTCTGCTCAGATCGCATGCTCCCATGCACGCTGTTTGTATATATTTGTTCTTCCCATCAGTGTGTATTTTCAGTGACATTTCAGCATTCCTCACGGCAACCATTATGGATTCTCTTTTCTGATCTTAGTGGAATCTTGAGAGGGTTAGTAAATCTAAGAACTTGTGGTATTACTAGGCGGTATTATTTCAGAATTTAGAGGAACAGCAAATATGATTTTTAAAACATGCTAATTTAAAATCATCTACACAAACTTGATTATTTTGCAGTAATTTAAATTTAATAGCAAAAAGTAAGGCTAAGATAAACCTGCATATATTAATTCACATACAGAAGACCTTGGGGCTTGGCTCGGTGGCTCAGCCAGTCATTCTAGCACTTTGGAAGGCTGAGGCAAGTGGATTGCCTGAGCCCGCAGGTTTGAGACCAGCCCGGGCAACTCAGTGAGACCGCGTCTCTATAATAAAACAAAGAATTAGCCGGGTATGGTAGCACATGCCTGTAATTCTAGTTACTTGGAAAGCAGAGGCAGAAGGCTCGCCGGAGCCTGGCAGGTTGACGCTGGGATGGTCGTGAGTGTGCCCCTGCACTCCAGCCTGTTTCTTGTGTGAGCAGAAACTCGAACTCAAAAAAAAAAAAAAAGATCTTGGATTGATATAGATTTATTTTTTAAAAAGTTAAGGCAGCCTGGACATAGTAGCTCACGCCTGTAATCCCAGGACTTTGGGAGGCCGAGGTGGGAGGATTACTTGAGCACAGGAGTTTGAGGCTAGGCAACCTTGTCGCTACAAAAATAAATAAGTAAATACATAGCCAGGCAAGGTAGCACGTGCCTATAGTCCCCGCTATTTGGAAGGCTGAGGCGAAAGATCACCTGAGTCCTGGGGTTTGCGGCTGCAGGGAGCCGTGATTGTGCCTTTGTGATAATCCAGCCTGGGTGGCAGAGTCAGACTCCAACTTAAAAAAAAAAAAAAAAGAATTAAAGCCATGTTGGAAATGTCAATAGAGTAGTCCTCGCCACATCAGGAGTGGAGACGTTCCGACTGCAGTAAGTTGCAGGAGACAGAGGGTGAACAGACTGTGCCGAGCCAGTGGCTTGCTTAGCTTAGCCGTAGCGAGGAGGACGCAGGGTGTGTGGAAAGAACTTGGAGTCTTTAGTCAGGGGAGCTGGGTTTAGGCCTTCCTCAGAAACAACTTAGTTTGCTTACTGAGCTCTGACACTCACATCTAAGAATTGTAGACAGTTGTATTCCTGCACTTGTGGGTTGTTTAGACAGCTAAATGAGATTTGTGAAAAGCCGTTTGAAAACGCTGCCATGCTGGGTGGCCAGTGCTGGTGGTTGTTGCTGTCGTTTGTCAGCTTCCTCGTCACTTGTGTTCTTCCCTCTACTCCTGTTCAGCATAATTTTCAGCGTGACAGCCTGTGGAGGAACGATGGCGGAGGCAGAACCCAGACCAATGATAATCGTAATGTGGGTGGACAGCCTGGCATCTGGGTGATACTTTGGATTTCAAGGCACTTTCACGTGTATTAACCTCATGATTTGGTTCAAGAGTGACATGTCCTGTGGTGGGATATGAGATCGATGTTACTTGCGTGAGAAAAAACTGAGTCTGGAAGGAATCTAGACATGTTCTTAGTAATGTTAAATAAAGTTTTCCTAGTTGAGGTAGAAATTCACAAGGGGAAAAATGTGTCAGAACAAGTTTGTGAATCTTCATGTCTTGGTGGGTTTATTAAATTTCAAAAGCTTCCCTCTAAATGAAACATGCATCGTAAACAACGATTGAAAAATGGAGCTCATACTTGAGCATCCCCCAGGAACTCTTCGGAAGGTTGGAGATACTGTTAAAAGACCGTTCTCATTTCAAATTCCCTACAGAGCATTCGGTCCCTCGAAGTGAGGAAGGAGCAGCAAAGTCAGGAAGTTGCACTGCCTTGCGAGACAGAGGTCATGGCCCCTCTCTGCCCAGAAGCCCCCGAAAGGCTCTTAGGAAGTTGTTGTGGCACAGACTTTGACCTTACTTTCTTGGAATGTGAAGATATTTTTTAATCTGCTGACTTGCTGCATTAATGACAAAGCAGGAATCGATGAATATTTGAGATGCAGACATCTTGTATCGGGCATGATGAGCTCTGCCACTGCAGACCATATTTTGAACTGGTGGCTGCTGAGTTATCCTACTTACTCAGTGAAGGCATGATTTAAGAAGCACAGGCCAAAGTTCATTGTCTGTCGCTGATGCTTCTCATGATTATTTCTTTACAAAGTTGGCTATCGATTGCTTGATCAGGAATATAACAACTTCTTACACAATTATTTTTCTAAGAAAGTACGTTTTATTTTACCTACAATATTTTCCCCAGAAACATAACCAGATGAGGAGTTTCGGCTGTAATATGTTTGGATACTGTATGCTTAAAAGACAGTTGACAGACTGGACTGTGGCCCGGAGAGGACCAAGAAACTGCGATGAGATGAGCGGTGGCTGTGCCTTGATGCTTCTGCTGCTGTTAGCACCCTGCCACCCTCCACTGCAGCCACCACGCCTACTCCATTCCCCTGCAGTGGGGGCCATCTTTGTTTCCGTTCGTTCTGTCTCAGCAGAAGAGACGTCCTCCCCCTTGTCAGTCCCTCCTGTTCCATTTTACATTCCTTCCCCAGACGAGTGCAGGGTTGGAAGCTTGACTGTTAGAGATGAGGTCTCTTGGAACCATTGATTCTGGGACTTTAGCATAAATTAGACTGGCAGTCATTTTATAAGATGAGAAAGCAGTTTTTAATAATACACATGTATAGTAAACTGTGGACTTCTTGCCTTTTCAGCCAAAGATGTCACTTACATATGTCCGTTCACCGGTGCTGTGCGAGGGACTCTGACTGTCACGAATTATAGGTTATATTTCAAAAGCATGGAACGGGTAAGATTTGGGGAAGATCTTTGTATATACATGTCTGTGCTGTTGGCACCCAGTGTTACTCATTTTTGGTCATTTCTGATGACAATTTTCATCAGCTGTAACTGGACACTGTCAGCTCCTTGGTTTTCATTGCTTTTTCTTCCCTTCCTTTAGGACCCTCCATTTGTTTTAGATGCTTCTCTTGGAGTGATAAGTCGAGTAGAGAAAATCGGGGGCGCTTCTAGTCGAGGTGAAAACTCTTACGGATTAGAAACGGTGTGCAAGGTAAATGTTCTCAAATGTATGTGATGCTCTGTGGTTTGAAAAACTTGGGGTAAAATAGAGCCTGTGTTTGGAAACTGGTTTCCAATATATCCAGTGGATTTTGTTTCGAAATGTCATCCAAGTAGGAAACCAAAGTTTAGTAGTAATAGTAAAGGTGGTTCATGAATTAGACTTAATTCTTTTGAGCCCAGTTCAGTCTACATAGTTTGATATACACACAAGTTCATAGCAACTTATTTTTATAAAGACCATCTGTGATGTGCATAGGACAAAGTAGCTTGCAGGATACAAAGTCATTTCACAGTCATTATTTCCATTTAAGCCTCTTAAAGTCCTGTCAGGTAGGGATAGTGGACAGTATTACCTTAATTCACAACTTAGAGACAAGGCTCTGAGCAGTTAAGGCAAAGTTCTTTATGGTGGAAGACTAGATGTGTGATATATTTGTCTTTACCTGTCTTTTGTATTTCTAGTTCTCGTAATTTTTCTACTTCTGAAACAGTGGTGGGCCTTCTATATTTTCTTATCCACGGCACTCTTTCAATGCACGGATACTTGAGTGAAACTTAGATTGTTCCATTTTGCCATCAACCAGAGGTACTTGGCACCCGGTGCCTCTGGTCGAGGCTGCTGCGCTCCTCTTTATGGCCCTGCTGCCCCACACACATCGCCGTGCTTGGTCTCACTGTTGCTTTCCTTGGATGTTCTGCCAGTGCCAACAAGTACAAGAAACAGCACTCGTGTAATTCTTTCTGGGTGATGCAAGACACTTTCTTAAGCTAATCTTAGGAGCTTCGTGAATCTGGTTTCCAAGCTGTTGACTGAGTGGTTATTTGCCTGGTTGTTCAGTGCAGTCAGAAGGGCTCTGTGAGGGTCGTCACTGTCAGCCATGTGTCGAGCCCAGTTTCCTGACCCTTTTTCTGTAGAGTTAAGTGGAGCATAGCACGGAAGAAGATGTGAAAGAGGATGACTTTGAATTTTAATCATTTTAAATATAATATTTTCCATGGAACAAGACCACTGCCAATAAACCCAAATATTTGTCAGGTCCTGCTATGACTGCTTTCAGAGAGCTCTGAGGTTAAGAACGCTTCTAGTTATAAGGATATTTACTGAGGATAAGCAGTACGTCAGCTTAGCTTCCTGTGCGTATTTCTTTTAACAGATGGTAAAGCTGACATTCTGGTTTTGGATGCGACTTGTAATACACTCTTCTACTTATTCTGGCACTGTAGGTGTGTTGTGGTAGAATGTCTTTGTGTTTGCCTTTACAAAGTCAGGCATAATAAAGCTGTTTTGAATTCAGCCTTGTTTAAGATATTTAAAGAATGTAGGATGTCTTGAAATTATTCTTAAGTTCCATTTTTCTCCCAAGTGCTGTGATATTATTAGTAAACAGAACATGAATATCTGCGCTCAGCTGAGCATAGAGAATTGCTCGAGGACAAATAACGGCAGGTGGGCTGGGTCTTCAGACCCCACGATAGAGCCTGGATGGCATCATCAAACCGAGAGCATCAGTAGGTGCGGAAGAACTTGAATGTGGCGCGAAGGAAGGAAGACCTCCAGGCAGGCTGGGGTTCTGTCGGCCTCGCGGCAGGGGCTTGCAAGAAGAGGCCCAGTGCAGATGCACCCTGGCTGGGAGAGAAGCAGCAGGGTGGTCGCCACATGGTTGGAAGGGAGGGCACAGGCACCATAGTGCTGCGAGTCAGTTTTTGTGAGTAGGGTACCTCATGGCGAGATAGACTTCATAGGGAGAGGACGTGTGCTGAGGGTGTGTGTCCGTCACGACATCAAGCTTCAGATGCAGTGTCTGAACCCCCAGGGCTTCCATCAAATGTGCCTGTCTTGCGTCCATAAGCATTGGTAAATTTTCTGTCCTCTGAATTCTGTGTTGTATTAGAGTGCTTCATGTTTTTTTTTTAATTTCTTTCAATAAACCATTATAATTTTCCTAACTCTGGGAGCTACTGTCTGATTTATTTTAGTAACCCACATGCATAGATCTTAACATTTTACAAGATAGTTCTAAGTAACCTTACTTGTTCATTAAATAAAAAATGAATAAATAATTATTAACTTGAATGCCAAATCTTTTCTAGGACATTAGGAATTTACGATTCGCTCATAAGCCTGAGGGGCGGACGAGAAGATCCATATTTGAGAATCTAATGAAATATGCATTTCCCGTCTCTAATAACCTGGTAAAATGTTTTCTGTCTTTGGAATATCAGTATTCTAATTATTGATGTAGTGTAGAGGCTTGTCTAGGCTGTCTAGAATCTCTGCGTTTACATCATTGCCTTGACATTTAATCAGATGTATAGTATGGGTTTAATCTAATCTCTTAGACCAGTTTCTTTAGATATGAAATAAGGAGGCTGGGCTGACTGATTTCTGAGGTCCATTCCAGCACTAACATTCATGAAAAGCTTATGTGGTCTTTGTTAGGATTTGAAATCTCCTTTTTAATTGGGAGCTGGCAATCAGGACTAGCAGTCTGGGAGAGAAGGGTAGCCAAACTGAGTTCCTGCTGTGTGCTGTGGTGGTCGATGCAATTTATCCCTGCTTTAGAGATCAAATCAACATTAGGCAAGCAATGAACTTGAACTCAGGGTCATTGCTAACAGGAAGGAGAACTTGGAGTCAACACTGGTCTTCTGACTCCAGTTCAACAATAGTTTCATAACAGTTGAACAGAATATTGTTCAGAAACAATAGTTGTTTCTGCTGTTTTGTCTAAAAAATTGATATTTTTGAAACACAGGTGACGTGTCAAAAATAAAAAGCTTATTAAGTGTGTTTTTGGAAATTTCAGATAAACTTTGTAGCTTCTTAACTGCTGGTATCTGTGATGTCAAACTAGTTAATTGTATCAGAAGATGCCTTTTTTAATGTCATGTTTTCATCATTTAGAAGTATGCCTACAGCCGGGCTCAATGGCTCAGCCTGTAATCCCGCGCCTTGGGAGGCTGAGGTGAGTGGATTGCCTGAGCCCATGGGTTCGAGACCCGCCTGGGCAACTTGGTGAGACCTCATCTCTACAATAAATCAAAAAATTAGCCAGGTGTGGTAGCGCGCGCCTGTAGTTTCAGCTACTTGGAAGGCTGAGGCGGAAGGATCGCCGGAGCCCAGTGGGTCGAGGCTGCGGTGGCCAGGAGCGGCCACTGCACTCCAGTCTGGGCAACAGAGTGAGACTCCAACTCAAAAAAAAAAAAAAAAAAGTATGCCTACAAAAACTATCAGAGATATCTGAAGGAAATATGATATTTTGATAAGTATTGTTGGTGGTACCTGTGCTTTTGTGTGTGTTTGAAAACATATGTGAGAGACAATAAACTTTCAACATTATAAAAACTAAGACAACAATATAAAAAAGAATGCTAATATAAGACATTTTGGTAGATATGTAAATGAAATCAACCATGGTTATGTTAAGGATACATTTTTGATTTATTACTGTCTTAAATGTCTTTTTTAGCTATTAACTTTGTTTACTTATTCGTAGCCTCTTTTTGCTTTTGAATACAAAGAAATATTTCCTGAAAATGGGTGGAAGCTATACGACCCTCTTTTAGAGTATCGAAGGCAGGTATGTATTTCTTTTCTTCCAGCTTTAGTATTCTAAATTCCCTTCATTACAGAGAAAACTTCGTGGGTAGAAGTAAGCAGCCATATGGAGGACTGTTTTGTCTTTGTTTTTGGTGAATCAAGGCCAGTCCTGATGGTTGAGCCGCCTTTCATTTTCTTTGAACTGCTTTTCACAACATGCCAGTGATCTTTTGTGAATCTTTACTTATTTGAGCTTACATCAGTTTATTTAAAAAAATGTTTAACAATTTTAAGGATAAAAATAAGACGATAAGTATATTAAGTTTTCATATTGTTATATGGCATTCAACACTATTCACTCAGGTTTTTCTTTTCGGGGTATTCTGTAGTTTGATTCTGAAAAATGTTTCAGTAATTTTGTTGCTTGCCACTTAGCTTCATATAAAACTTTGAGGGTTTCATGTCTTGGGAGAGGACCAGCGGCGCTTCCTGTGATGCGGTGCTGAGGACAGCATCGTTTCACTTTGGCCGGTAACCACAGCAGGAGTATGCCCTCTCTGTGTTGCTGGACTCCTGCCACCTTTTCTGTTATTTTGGGTGCAGATCAGAGTGCATCTCCTGTTGCGGCTTCCCCGGGACTGGCCGCCCTGCTTTGGTCCACTCTGATGTGATGAGCTTGCTGGTGCGCGCTGGCCCCCTGCTCCTCCATCTTTCCGCTGCGACGGTTCGCTTTGCATTTTGTCAGCAGTGTCACCCGCTCTTGGAGGAGTCATGTCTTGCTTCCCGGGTGTTCTTTGCACTCCAGGAGGGAAGGTACTAAGCCCGGTTTCCGCCGCGGTACTCTTGGGATGGGCACAGTGCCTGACCCGCAGTAGACAGTGGCCAGCTGAGGGAGGGAGCGCCTTGTGCTCACGGCGTGTGCTCAGAAGTGCTTGCTGGCCAACAGGTCTTCCGCAGAGATGGGCTTCATTTGCCAAAGCACGTATGTGGTGGACATTCAGGCCAGGCTTTTTCTTAAGCGTCTCAGAAATAATAAGCCATTTGATCTTCATAATAATTCTGTGAGGTAGGTACTCATGTTCTCTGCACATCATATGAATAAACTGAGCTGCAGGGACATCGAGTCATCTGTCCAAGGCAACACAGCTACTAAATCTGAGAACCAGGCTCTGAGCCACACTCTTCACCATTACCCTGTATTTTTTTCCAAGATTAAAGTAATTTATTTTAAACAAAATTGGGGTCAGAAGTGGTGGCTCACGTCAGCACTCTGGAAGGCCAAGGCAGGAGGACTACTTGAGCCCAGGAGTTTTAGACCAGCCTGGGCAACATAGTGAGACCTTGTCTCTACAAAAAGTCAAAAACAGTTAGCCGGGTGTGGTGGCACACATACGTAGTTGGGGGCATGAGGTGAGGGGACTGCTTGAGCTCAGGAGTTCGAGGCCCTTGAGGCCATGGGAGCTGTGATTGTGACACTGCATTCTAGTGTAGGAGACAGAGTGAGACTCGGACTCAAAGAAAAAGCTGGAGTTTTGCTGCTGAAAGACTGTCACTTCTTATAGAGAAAATTGTCCATAGTAGCTGTAATCAAGATTTATTATAGCTGTTGTGAAGAAATATGTATATTTGTATTAATCTAGTAATTGGAAGAATAAAATTTAAAAATTGATGGTAATCATAACTAATAAGGACACTGTAAGACTAAGGACAGCGTCTACAAATCGCGTTTGCACTTTGTTTCTATGCCTACTGTGTGGTAGTTTGGAACCACATGAGTTTCTGTGGATAGTGAGGGAGTTGGTAATAGGGAGACTCAGGTGGCCTCCTGGAGCAAGGGGTGGAAAGAAAAACCTTCTTGGTTGGAGGGTCTGGTGACCAGCCTCTGTGTATTTTGACCCTTTGGGGTAAGAGTGAGCTGGAATTAAGTCACATCTTGACTAGTCAGGGAGCCTAGATGTGCACAGCTTGGATTTTCTGGCAAACGCAAGAGGAAAGCGGGAGACGGGCAGAGGTTATATTTGAAGTGGTCCGCTGGAAGTCTTCTCACACTGTTGGAAGATATCCATCTGCAGAATCAGCAAGGTCAGTGTTAAGACAGGGAAAGACGCTCACGTCTAGACACCTCACATGGCGCCGTGGGCTGTCAGAAGCAAAGAAGTCTGAAAACAGCTAGGAGAAATGGTGGGTCATTCAGAGACACAGAAGTTAGACAAGCAGGAATGGACGCCCAAAGACTGTGATTTTTATCTTTAGTGTGCTGAAATAAAATAGCACCAGCTGAGAATTCTGTACCCAGTGAATGCATCCTTCAGTATAAAGGTGAATTAAAAAATGCTTCAGACAAACAAGATGACTTCTGTGACCCCCACATACATGGGGCTTTCTCTCCCCGGCAAGCCAGCAGTCAGTTCTGTACCAGACACCCACTGGGTGTCCCCCGGTTCAGTTCCGACACCACCCACCTGGCCGTGGTGTCGGAACACCAGCTTGCGAGTTTGGGCCCCTGGAACTGACTGTCTTCAAGTTGGGGTTCCCATGACCACCGCTTCGAGTGGGATTAATTTGCTGGAGCAGCTCACGGAACGGAACACGTTTACCGGTGGCTTGTGGAGGATGTTTATGGATGAAGAGATGCACAGGGCGAGGCCGTGAGGAGCTGCAGAGCTTCCAGACCCTCCCTGAGCATCTCCCGGGAGCCTCCATGGTCGGCCGCCTGGAAGTTCTCGTGGGCCTTCGACGGGGACATCACTGGAGAGGCGTGACCGAGGCAGGCGCAGCTGTCTGTTCGGGTTCTTCTCGGCCTCTCTGTGTGGCGCTCCTTCCTCCAGGGATGAAGACCTCACGACTCCCGGTCAGACCAGCGTCCTGTCTTGGGCAGGTGAAAAGAGGGCAGGAGAAGGCCAGAGGGAAAGGGGGCGGGGCCGGGGGGAGAGGTTCTTTTCATCATAACGAGACTGGAAGTTAGGAATCAGGATCTGCCGATGAAATACACACACACACACACACACACACACACACACACACACACGTAGAAACCTACGTGTAGATTTATAGATCCGTATGTACATAGACATCATAGTCAGTGAGTCACCACATCAAGAGATTGAGCGGGATTCAGGCTTGAAGTGTGTGCTTAGAGTATTGTCTTCCTGCCTTCCTCACTGCACGCTTCTTAAAGAGTTCCTATGCCAGAACTCCTAACTGCACTGTCCCTCAGCTGTTCTTTTCTCTATTCGTAACTTCCCTCTTATCCACTAAGCTTTCTTGAGAATTTAAGTCTTAGACGTATTAATTATTTCTTGGTGAACATTAGGTTTGAAATCCAAATTTTTGTAGAATTTAAATATAAAAATCCTTAAGCTGGCCAGGTTTGGTGGCTCAGCCTGTCATCCCAGCACTTGGGGAGGGTGAGGTGAGTAGACTGCCTGAGCCCACGGGTTCGAGACCAGCCCAGGCAACTTGGCGAGACCTTATCTCTACAATAAAGCAAAAAAATTAGCCAGGCGTGGTAGCACGCGCCTGTGGTTCCAGCCACTTGGAAGGCTGAGGCGGAAGGATCGCCGCAGCCCAGCAGGTCGATGCTGGGGTGGCCGTGAATTTGCCTCTGCACTCCAGTCTGAGTGACGGAGTGAGACTGCAACTCACAAAAGAAAAAAGAAATCCTTAAACTGTTGCTTCTGTGTTTAAGTCTCATTGCATTTTAATTATTCATTTTCCAATTTACTGAGGTTTTTGTCTCACAAAGCCAGGAAGAATGACAACCACCTGGAAAACCAAAGACACCTAAATGATTTGAAGCTGAGTCTGTGACTCTAATCACACATGGTAAGGGACATTTAAATTGCTCAGTTCCATGATAACATCAATTGACAAAATCTGAAATGGAATACAGGATAAATGGAAGGCAACTGAAAGCCAAGAGTATGCAAGTAACATCGTAAGATTTATTAATCCAAAAATCCAGATCCGAGTCAGGTGGTGAAGCAACCAGGAAATCTCACAAATGTCTTGAGAAATTGTAAAACCGAGGACTCCTCTTTGTGACTCTGGGCAGATGCTGCTGTATGTCCCAGTGGCATTTGTCAGAGAACTTTGGAAAGCAGGTGAGGTCACTGGGACCAGAGAAAATAAATACATTATTATTAAACAGAAAAAACAAGTTACCTGGCAAACGAATAACTACATCCACCCAGAGAACTCTGGGCTAAGGGGATGTGGCAGGAAGGACAGAGCGTGGCACTCCACACTGAATGACACGGATGCTTTCATGGTCTGGACACGCAGGATGAACTTGTTGGCTTTTTATTTCTGTAGCAGCCGGAACGTTGTCTCTGAGTCAACTAAGTTGAGTGTAACGGAGAGGACACTGTCTGTAGTTAGAAGCATTAGTTTTTTCTTTTCAGGGGGGATAACTTTTAAGTGTATTACAAAAGAAAATGAAAATGATCTCTTAAAATGTAAAAGTAAAGATAAAGCATCAGAGTATTCCGTCGTTTCCCCACTTAAATTAACAAACAAAAAGGAAGTGGTAATACTTGCACTCTGTAAAAAGGGTGTACTGTACACTGAGAGGTAGGTTTCCTTCCGAACAGCCCCTCCACCCAGCCAACCCTTTGGGAAATACTGTCACTGGCTTCCCGCATATCCTTCCAGAGATTTTATGCCCACAGAGTACACTGCATATTGTGTATGGGAGCATATCGTGCACACGATTCTGTGTCTGTTTTCATGTAATATGTTTTGGAGATTTTACATCTCAGAACATGCAGATGTTTCCGGGTCTTTTAAATTGAGGTAATCACTCACCACAAGATTTGCTGTTTCAAAGTCCACTGGTTTTTAGTATATTTAAGAAGTTGTACAGTTTTCGCCGCACTCTAATTCTAGGACATTTAGAAGACTTGGCTTTGAATCTTAGCTCTAGCTCTTACTCTCACTTGGGTGTGGGCTCTTCAATGAGTCATTTATGTCACAGTGCCTTCCCTTTTTGCTTGATGATGGATACTGCTTTATGGGAGTGTTTGAAGGATCAGTGACATACAGGAAGGTACTTTGTAAATGATAAAACTCTATCCAAGTTATTATTATATTTATTACATTCTAAAGCTTAGAAAACGGAAACGACTGATTAGCGTTATCATGTGTTATCACTAACACAAAAAGTGAAAGCCACATAAATTCAATAGACCTCTATATAATAGTGCTAAAATACATTAGACTGTATCTTTTAAAAAATGGGCAAAGCTATTAATAACCATTTAAGTCTCTAATATAAGAGAGTGCTTCCTTAATTTACCCTTGAAGTATACATAGTATATAGTGATTATACAGTGGACCCTGGAGTTTGTAAATGAGGTCAAGAAAAACCAAGTCATCAGTAAAATTCAGTATAAAGACAACGAGCATGGTCTTCTGCAGAAATCTCAGTGCATGTACCTTACAGGTAGATGCAGTTGCTTAAGAAACTTGGAAAATGCCCAAGTTCGGCCCAAGAAAACAGTTTGTTCTCAGAACTGGAATACAGGTGACTAAGGAAAGCCACACCCCTATTAAACTGGTTAGAACTTGACCAGTGGACACATTAGCTGGAGGGCAGTGATTTGCATGGAGAGTGGAATATAGGCCCAAGAGCAGCAGTCATGAGCGCATCTTGAGTGCTGTCTAAAGAGAGAGTGAGGACTGGCCCACCCCAGTATCCTACCTGAAAGACCGTTTCTTGAGTGGAAGTGGGTGTGCCCCTTTATCCAAGCATGAGGGGGGGACAATAGCCTTTGAGGTAACTTAAGTCAGTGGTTCTTGTCCCTGCCCCACCCTGCTGCCTGCCTAAAGCATGTGACACTCCCAGATGGGAGCAGTGCTTCTCCTGTTAGTGATTGTTCAGGCATACGGGAGGAAGTGGGGGGGAGAGAGGAGTGTCTTTCTGGGTTAGGTACCCTAGGATCTCAGATGGAGGCTTCTGCAGGTACCCAACCCTCTTAGCTCGGACTTCATGTCCTAAGAAACTTCAGAAACTAACATTGCTTCTTATGGCAGCTCCCCGTGGTTCGTCCAGTTCACACAGGATCTACTAAATACCAGTAGCTGGAGTATGAAACAGAAATACAGTTCTGGTCCCCAGAGAGTAGACTGACAACTACAGTGTGCCGTGGTAGACACTGATGGAGCAGGCGCCGAGGTGGGACAGCAGGAGCCATCTGGGCGCTGAGAGAAGGTGGGGACAGGCTAGACCACGGTGCATGCGGCCAGGGAGAACTGCCAAGGCTCTGCTGAGACTCCAGAGGGCCTTACATGAAAAGCAGGAGGGAGCCAAGGGTCGTTGGTCGGCAGAGGGGTGACAGGAGGCTTTTGCATCTGAAGGGATCACTGTGGAGGCATCTCGTGAGTGGAGCACAGAGGGACAGGACAGAAGTGACAACGGTCTGGATTAGGGAAGGGGCAGTGGGATTCCGGTAGACGTGAGCAAACCTGTGGCACTTCTGGAAGAAAAAGAACAGAACCTGGCCATTGGATGTGGGAGGCAAGCGAGAGGGAGACCCTAAAGATATTTAAGTTTCTTGCGCGAGTCCCACCCTTGATGCTTACCGGCTCACTGTACTTTTTATAACCGTGTGAGTATTGTTAAAAACTGCTGATTGTGCCTTTCCTTTACTTCTGGAAATAAGGACCTTATGACTGTCCAAACATCTAAGGCTGAGGAAAGCAGCAGGAAGGGAGGGCTGCGTATCACAGGGAGCACGCTGGGACCAGGCCAACCCCGTGGGCGGACCGGACGGAAAGCACCGCGAAGACGTGGCCCGGCCAGGGGCATGTAGCGCCGTGGGGAGTCTTTCCTCTCGCTCGCTGGAAGGGGATTCGCTCTACTTCAGAACGTTAAAATCCTCAGGGTGTTCGGCAGCAGCTTGCGAAGTACTGCTTTGAAGGAGAGCAGGCTCTGCTTTTTATGCGAGACTTTCGGTAACAGTTTAGTGAGCCGGGATAGCAAATATTTCTTGAGAAATAATGTACTCTTATGTAATAAGGATAGATTTGGATGTACATGGAATCGCTACCACTGCCTGATGTATAGCTCTGGTCAAGTTACAAGCTGTGCCATAGTTTCTTAGTCTATAAAATGAAGTTAATAAAACCTGAATACGGTAATGTGAGTGTTTATGTGTGTGTAAAGAGGCTGGCATAGTCCCTATACAGAGTAGATAAATACTTAATAAACATATTTCTACTATAATTTGGTTTCTTTTTCTGTTTGATAAGAATTTTCAGGGATCATAGAGTTTAGATTTTCTTAGGTCCAGCTATTTAATGTAATGGCTCTATTTTCTATATGATGGAGGATGGAAACGTTTCAGTTATCTTAGTAAGTAACTCAGTATGTGAAATAGCACACTAGTTATAGGATAGCAGATATTGACTGGGCGTAGTGGCTCACATCTGTAATCCCAGGACTTTGGGAGGCTGAGACAGGAGGATTGCTTGAGCCCAGGAGTCCCAGACCACCTGGGAACAGCAAGATCTCATATCTACAAAAAACAAATTAGCCAGTAGTGGTGGCATGCACCTGTAGTCCCAGCTACTCGGGAGGCTGAGGCAGGACACCTGAGCCTGAGAGGTCGAGGCTGTAGTAAGCTTTGGTCATGCCACCGCACTCCAGCCTGAGCAACACTGAGACCTCAACTTAAAACAAAAAAGGAGATATTGAAGAACCACTCAAGAGCTTAGTAAAATGGGTCTGCTTTTAGAAGCTTGTTTTAAGTGTTTCTCTTGCCTGTTGTCTGTTTTACTTTCCTTCTCTTGCTCTCTTGCTTTTCTGGTATGTTTTAGATGAACAGCATCCCTTCAGTCCTGCAGTGCAGGAGTGATCGGTGTCGTACAGCATTCTGGTGGACGCTTGGTTCTGCCCCTGGAATCTCTGCATAACTCCTTCGCAGCAGAGACAACCATCCAGTCAAACTGAATGAGACTGTGTTCCTTTTTAAGACAGGGAGCATCTGCAGCCTTAGTGTTTCCTTCCTTCCCCCTAGGTATGCTTAGCAGAGACCCACCAGCAATAGTTAGTGAATTAATAAGTCTCTTGGCATAAAACTGGGTGCCAAAATGGACACGCATTCCTACATTAGAATATCTGATCCTGAAAACCTGGTCAACAGAGGCAGACCGTAACTGGTCCAACACTCTAAGAGATCAGAGATGTTGAGTAGGATGGCTTCTGTCCCGGTGTCCTTTGAATACAGGGTCCCCAACCCCTGGGCCACGTAGCAGGAGGTGAGCAGTGAGCGAGTGAGCAAAGCTTCTTCACCTGTATTTACAGCCGCTCCCCATTGCTCGCAGGACTGCCTGAGCTCTGCCTGCTGTCAGATCGGCGGCGTTAGATTCTCGTGGAGTGTGAACCCTCCTGTGAACCGCCTGTGCGAGGGATCGGGTGGCAGCTCCTGATGAGAATCTGATGCCTGATGATCTGAGGAGGGGCCGAGGCGGCGAGGGAGTGCTGAGGGGTGGCTGCAAATACAGATCGACGTTGGCAGGGAAGTTTGACCACACATTCCCTCCATCCCCTGCCCCTGTCTGTGCAAAAGTTGTCTTCCACGACAGTTCTGTATGCAGCAACAGGGACAACCAGTCCCTGATGCCCAAATGGTCGGGGACTGCTGTTTTAATATTTTAGTTCCATAATAACTTGTCTTATGGCTCATTTTGTGCACAGGGACTTCCAAATGAAAGCTGGAGAATAACCAAGATAAACGAGCGGTATGAGCTTTGTGATACCTACCCTGCCCTCCTGGTCGTGCCAGCAAATATTCCTGACGAAGAGCTAAAGCGAGTGGCGTCCTTCAGATCCAGGGGCCGCATCCCAGTAAGTAGGAAACGTCGAGGAGGCTTTGCGCCCGCTTTTGTACTAATGCTGAGGTTAATGAGGGGATGGATGGATTCAAAGCAAAAATGTCGACAGCAGCAGGTCTTGTATGGAGATGTGGGAGAGCGAGTTATTTAGTACAATTAAGGCTGGAGGAAAGAGGTTCTAGCGCTGTCTGGGGAGTATGACAGAGGTATTAGACAGCCATACCAGAACTGCACGGCTCCTTGTTGGAAAACACAGCATTCCCCGTATGTTACGTATGACGTCTGTGTCTTGGCGTACATTCTTTAGTCATACCGATAAATGTGCTTTTCCTCTAAGAACACTGCACACATTTGTGGAGAATGGGGTCCTAGAAGGATCAGCTCAAATAATTTTAGGCACAAAGCTCGTAAGTTCTGTAGCTGGGCAGTTTCCTGAGAGAGAGAGGGGAGCTCACTTAGCCACGTCTCGGCCTGTTTTTCGAGAGGCGCTGCCCAGTCCTCCATGACTTCCTAGATCAGTATCCGACTAGAGGGTCCAACCACGTTTCCTCATGCCAGAGTCAGCTTGCAGGAAGGTGACGGCTCCTCCCGGGAGCCTCGGAGCTTTTCATGGCCAGGCCGTGATGTGAAAGGGTCGCTTTGCCGAGTACTGATTCCGAGAAGTCTCGTGAACGTTTGGGGGGGACACGTGCGGGACGCCGCGAGCACATGCAGGGTTGCGCCTTCTTCCCCAACGCAGGTTCTGTCGTGGATCCATCCCGAGAGTCAGGCCACAGTCACCCGGTGTAGCCAGCCCATGGTCGGCGTGAGCGGGAAGCGGAGCAAAGAGGACGAGAAGTACCTCCAGGCCATCATGGACTCCAACGCTCAGTCACACAAGATCTTCATATTCGATGCTCGGCCGAGTGTTAACGCTGTTGCCAATAAGGTGAGGTGGCCTCCGGGGACGGAGTCTGGCGACTGGCCCGCGAGTCAGCTGCGCTCGGCAGGCGCGGTGCGGCGAGCAGCTCGGGCTCGCAGTGGTGGCGACGCAGGGTCTGGTCCTGGCTCTTCCACCTCTTGGCGTGGTTTTGAGTGAGGGAGTTGTTCTTCTTAGACTCAGTCTGCTCACGGGAAGAGCGAGAAAAAGAATGGCGAGCAGAGCTGTCTTAGGAGTAAAAGTCACTTAGTAAAAAACCGCGTGTAGCCCCGTGCTTGCTTACGCAAGAACTCGGTGTTCAGGTCTTAGTTTCTTTCTCCCTTCGCAAATTTGACAACCAGCTGAGCGCGTGACCGACCCAAGGCCCCGAGCGCATGCCGCAGGAACAGTGACCCAGCGTCCTCAGCGGCCAGAGGTCGCGTCCTCTGACCGCACTCCGTCCAAGCAAGCTTTTCCCGATTTCTCCCGCAGAGTAGTCGTGAGCTCTGTGGGCTTCGAAATTCTGGCTCAGTTAACAAAACCCACCGCAGGAGGGAGGCGAGAGCCGGCGTGCAGCCTGGCCACAGCAGCCGGCGCCGTTCCTCGGAAAGCAGGCGTGGTTTTCACCGCACTCCCGTCGCAGGGCTCATGCGTTGTCTCCGCCGTCAGAGCCGGTGACGTTGGCTGTTCTCCCTCACACGTCTCTCCCTTCCACCTCTTGGTCCTGCAAGTGGCTGGCTGCATGCTGGGTGCTCACAGCCAGTGCGGCCCGGCTTCAGAGGCCCGTCTTTCTCGTCATCCTCGGGGGCCGTGTTGCCTGCGGTCAGCAAGTAGCCGGGGCTCCTGGGAGCAGCGTTCTCTGAGAACTCGCCTGCTGACAGCACTTGTGTCCTTTATGTTTGAAAGTCAGTTTTGCTGCCTATAAAGTCCTTGGCTTATCCTTGATTTTGAGCATCTTAAATAATTACTTCATTTTCTCTTGGCATAAAGTTTCAAAAAGTTTGATGATATGTTCCTTTTTAGTTCACGACTCTTTTTGCTCGGTGTCCAAAGGTTTTCTTTTTTTAGTCCAATTATTTTGCCAAAATATATCTTCATATTAGGTGTTCTGGGTTTGTATTCTCATGTATACATGTGTACTATTTCAACTTGGAATTTTCCATCTTTAAAAAATTTTTCACGAGTATTTCCTTTAATTACAGTTCTTCATACTCTGTCTCCTCATTTGGCTTTCTTCGTCAGGGACGCCTGATAATTTGTATGTTATGAACTCTTCGCTACCTCCTTATCATGGTCACTTTTTCTTATATTGTTTTTATGTTGCTCTGATTTTTTTGGTTTTTAAGACTTTCTTTTTCTTCATTTTAAAAGATATCTATTGGCTTTATTTGCTCTTATATTTCTTCTGTTTTAGTCTTCATTTCTGATGTCATTTTTAAAAAAATTTATAATTTGTTTCCCAGTTCTGTCCCTTCCTTCTGAGTTCCTCCAATTCTGATGTATGTTGTTTTTCATGGCTGACATTACTTCAAAAGTGTTTTTAGCAGATTGGAGATAGGAGGCTTTAGTTATCTGGGCACTGTCTGCGGGGGTGTTATGAGTGCTGCTCCTTCTCTTACTGTAGGGTGGCTTGTGTGGGATTTGACCTTCATCTTCTCCTGTTACTCGTTTTAGGGGAAATTCATTTTCCTGAACTTGTAAAAGGACGCATGGTTGAGTTGCAGCCATGGCACAGAAGCGAAGCACACCAGGAGTTAGAAGCGGCAGCCTCACGGAGCTTCCTTTGCTGATGGCATACGTCGTCACCTGGCTCTGTTTTAAGTGATCTTGGTGTGTGCTTGGTTTTATGGAGACAGAACTCATCTGCCATGAAAGCACTCTGAAAGTGCTCATCTTTTAAAGTGTGTATTTCTGTGTTTTGAGTACATTCCCAAAGTTGTGCAGCCATCACCATGACCTGGTTCCAGAGTGTTTTAATTCTGGGTTTCTGGGATAGGTTGTGTGGGGTTGCCACCACTGCTGGCTTTTTGGAATTTGTTGCAGCAAATCTGAATTACAAATCCTCCACCACTGACCACTCTTCCCACTTTTCAGAAATAATCCTTGTTAGCAGGGTTTCCTCTGCCAAAACGCCTCATTGTAGAGCCGTGCTGGTTATGAACCCAGACGACTGACCGTTCTCTCTGTGCCCACAAGGAAGACTGCGCTTCTGTTCGGATGGCGATTTTGTGTTGGTTGGGGGAGTCTCTTGTTTCCAAGGGATGAGTCGCACGATCACTTAGTTGTACCCGGCTGTATTTGCTGCTTCAGTAGTTTTCTAGTTTGCTTGTGTTAGGGCTCAAAGAGCTGTGAGTTCACATGTGAGTTATATAGAAGATAGAATATTTAGTCATAGAATATTAAAAGTCCAGAAAACGTAGCTGCTCCTTTCTCTCCATCGCTTGCTTTGAACATCAAATATTTTCTCATTTCGTGCTGTAGATACAGAATTAAGTCTCTGAGCACAGTGATGACAGTAGCATTCTGTGCTTCTGTACTTGTTCTGGCTTTTTATTTATTTTTGTGTTCTGTGTGTCTGTTTAAAATAATTTTGTGGCTAAAGTGGAAGCAAGGCATGGTGATTGCTAAAGAATTTACTTCACAAAGATTGAGATGAAACAAGGTGAAGAAGCAGGGGGGAAGCCATGTGGGAAGCCTGTGGTCCCTGCGTGTAGAACTTCCAGTCCGGGGATTTGAGCCAGTATGAAGGGACATCTTCTGTGGGAAATTATGCTTGGGCAGGATTTGAAATGCGGGCAGGGAAGATTTAGTGCTTTCAGGTTTGTGAATACCTTCTTGCACGTCTGGCGTGTCAGGGAGTCTGGGCAAGAGTGGGAGGTCTAGCCGGGTGGTGCAGAGCTGGCCCGAGCCACCCAGACTTTCTGTGGAGTTTGGTGGCCACCGTAGTGTGCACCATCTTGGATGCTACGGGGTACGCTGGGCCCCTTTTTGTGGATGTCCACACGCAGTGGTGTGCGCTTATTTGTCGTTTCTCACAACTTGCACCTGCTTGCAGGCCAAGGGCGGAGGCTACGAAAGCGAAGACGCCTACCAAAACGCAGAACTCGTGTTTCTGGACATTCACAATATCCATGTCATGAGAGAGTCCCTGCGGAAGCTGAAGGAGATTGTGTACCCCAACATCGAGGAAACACACTGGCTGTCCAACTTGGAATCGACGCACTGGCTGGAACACATCAAGGTGGGCACATGGGCCGTTTCCCAGCCGCCGGCTCTGGTAGCTGGAGTCGGCAGGGCGGCTCCTTTCTGAACGTGGAAAGCCGGGCCGCGCCTCTGCCGGCCGTGTACGAGCGCCCTCTGCTGGCCACTCGGGCCGGCCGGGCCTCCGGCTCCGCCCTCTCGGGT